TTTTTTTTTTTTTTTTTTTGCACAGCAGTGCAGTGTAGAAATGTCAGTGTGGATCGCTGCACAGATAAAGTTTACAATGTAAATAAAGCAAAATGCCAGATGTCTGTGGCCTAGTGACCCTTCTGTGAACTTTGCGGTGGAAGGATAAATTACAGCAGTCAGTGTTTGGTTACTAAAAGTCAATCTCTTTCCTTTCCCTCCCTTTGTACATATACCATAACTATTTTCATTTTTCCCCCTTTTTTTTAGTAATGGTTTATGATTAATCTTCCCATCCATTTTCTTCATCACCTTGTCGTTTATTAACTGACTAAATCAAAGCAAATCTCCTTTACGTTCTCAATGGGACTTAAAGGAGATTTAAGTCTCATGAAGACTTAAATCTTAATGAGACTTAAGATTTAAGTCTTGCGTTAATTTTGTCACATTTTTGTCAAAATCCAAACAAACTTTGTTCACTGTTGAATAAAGGTAAAATATGTAAACATTTTTGTTTTTCTCTTGACTGAAACGTAGCAACCTTGTTACTTTAAAGCTGTTTACCAAACCATCATTTCTGGTTGCGATTACACCTCAAGCATGTACCATTAGTATCAATTTATTTTCAAAAACACTGCAAATCACCATATTAAAAAAAATCTAATAGTTATTAAGTTGAACCTTTCACTTTCACTAACATAGAAGCACAAAAACAAACTTTATCCTGGGCAGTACTTCTCTTTATTTCTTCTTTATTTCTGTTTTTTTTAAAGAAACAGTTCTTGGTTTTTATCAAATACTTAATTTCAAACATGTAAGGCCTAATTAAATCAACAACCCTGAACACAACACTACATTTTTATTAACTATTAAACTGATCAAATGTAACTTACTACAGCAACTAGTAGTCATAAGAGAGTTACCTATTTCTAAGCTTACGTGCAGATAAATATATATGTGTGTGTGTGTGTGTGTGTGTGTGTGTGTGTGTGTGTGTGTGTGTGTGTGTGTGTGTGTGTGTGTGTGTGTGTGTGTGTGTGTGTGTGTGTAAGGACTGATTTAGAACCCAAATTCTTCAGGTTTGTACCTTTTTAAAACATAAAAAGGTGTAAGCTTCTCTGATGGCCTCAGGTGTGTTTGACCTGCACAATCAATTAGAGGAGACATTCGGTTTTCCCTGCAAAGCAAACATGCCAGAGCCTCAGGCCGCTGTCGCTCTTTACAACCTGTGACCTCTGAGTTTAACCGGAATCACATGATTCTTACTAACAAACATCTGAAGTTGAATCCATTTTTTACTGTTGAAAGTCTTAAACTTGTCAGAATCAGATATTAAAGCTGTTCTTTGTGCTTGCAGGTTGTTGTTCACCTGAAACTACCACCTGTTGTTACCTCAGCTCAGCGTTTTAGTGTGACATGTTTGTGGCTTGTTTCTTGCCCCGCTGCATTTCCTTTCAGGATTTAATTTGTTTTGCTTTACTTGTGCTTACCAGTAGTGACCTGAGATCTACTAAATTATCAAAAAATGTCAGTACTTTTTCGCAAAATTCTAACACAATGCGAGCATTAGACTGGAATAATGCTGCCTGTTTTTTTTTTTGTTTTTTTTCTCTCCCTCGGAGAATAACTGTTTTCCTTCAAGTTGTCTTGGATCAAAGGACATTGATGCTACTGAGGAGGGTAATAAAGAAGGGAAGATTCTTTTAAAGGGTGTGATTCTAAGCCAAATGAATATTTTGAATTGTCTCGGTGTCTTAAACACAGTTCTTAGGGGTCCTGAGCTCTGGGATCAGCACTTAAGTTGCACTTAGGTGACATCAGAATTTAATAAAGTTTTGGTCAAACAAAGAAAAGCTGTGCGAAAAACACCAGCTTAACATCAGTCTGCGAGGTTAAAACTGCTTCTCACTCAAAACTCAGAGGGAGCGGTGTGCTGCTTTTGTGTTGCATCTAATGTTTAAGGGATACGCAGCACTTTTTACAAAAAACAAACCCAGAAAGTGACAAAACCACGTTGTCACAAAGGAAGCTGAAGTTTGTATATTTTTGTGTGTGATTTCAGGGGGCTTTTCATCACTGTTCACGACCGAGGGCACATTGCTTCAATTCTCCAAAACTGGCCAGAAAAGGACATAAAGGTAAACCTTTGACTTGGAAGTTTTTTTTTATTTTTTTTGTGCTGAACTTAAACTAAAGTCCATCACAGAATATGCTGTTTTCGAATGCAATTACAGACAAAATGTGGAACTTTTTAATCTTGCGGATTTATTGATCAGAACTAATTAATGGCAACTGATCAATTTTGACATATAGTGGGTGCCATAAGAAAAATACACAAAAATAATGCAGCCAAAGTCGACTGCAGAGAAGCAATGACCCATGGAACCAGTTATTAGTCATATCCCTCCAAAAAGCAAATCCCAAGATATGGAAAATAAATAATTTTTCCCAACATTTTTTTCATAAATGCGATATGGCTTCCTGCCCAGGGTGTCAAAGTGCTCGGTTATGGGTCAACAAACAAACAAAAAACATTTTGTCACTTCTCCCAAGAATAACTGTTCGGATGATTCACATTCAGTCCATGTCGAGAGAACACTGTACAAAACTGTCAACTTGCGAACGACATTAAAGTACTTGATTATACTCCTATTTTGCTAAATTAAACGGCTATTTCACTATTTTTCTTGAAGTAAATATGTTTTTCTTTTACCTAAATTAGACAATTCTACTCTGAACAGAGATTCCTTAAAACAAAGTTTGAGAATTATGGAAATGTTATCTCACTTATGAAAACACTAATACAAATTATGAGCAGTCATTCGCATCAGGGTGACCTTAGACTGCGATTGGTCAACTCTAGACTGATTTCTGCTGCTCCAGAGTAAAGCTCAACAGTCTCTGCCCCTCTTTGCACTTCATAAATAAAAAGGCGTCGCGCTCTCAGCAGCATGACGACACCACCAGGCATTCCTCGCATGTCGGCTGAACCCGCAGCCGCAGCCACCTGTTCACAGCTGTCAACAGCAAGGCATTTACTGTACCTGAGCTCTGTTAATGCTGCTGCGCGTTCTCAAGGTGGTCTTATCGTAACCTCAGTGGGTACGTCCTACTTTCAACATTTCACAAAGGAGCCAAGGTTGTCATTCTCTGATGAGCCTGAGCCGCTACTGGAACATATCGGCAAGATTTGGCAAGATGGCAGAAGAGAAAACAGCATGGAAACTAATCAAGCACATTCAAAAATTGCGAGATTTTTGGAGGAATAAAGCTGTGAAAGTGTTGCACTTTCAGTGACACTTTTTGTAAAAGTGTAAAAGTTTCCTTTTCTAACGTCAGGCGTTACATAAACGATGTTGTAAAGCAGTAGAGGAAAGTTTATTGATTATATTTGGTGCTCTCACTGAGCAGGGTTTGCTCTAGGATCCGTAGTGTAAAAGTTCATATTTGTTCAAACATGGCAAAATAAAGAAGCAAAGATGTACTTTTGCAGCATTAATTATGAAGATTATCCACCCATTTCTATCAATTGTATCCATTTTATTTATTCCAGATTCAATAAAAATAATAGTAGGTGTCGGCTTGTGTACGGAGCATTAAAAGCAAGCTAAATTGTAAAAAAATAAAATAATACAAAGAACGGCTCTAACTGAGACTGGAGTCCTGCCGTTCACAACAAAGAGAGTAAAATCGCTCGTGAACGATACATCTATACGCTCTACAGCACGTGTCAAAGTCGAGGCCGGTGTGCCAGATGTGGCCCGCCATAACATTTCATGTGGCCTTTTGCAAAAAATCTGCATAACTTACTCAAAGTTCAAACCAAATTCCCAAGAAATCCACAGATTCCCACATTTTTTTCTGATTTTTACTGCAAATTTTTCTCAAAATTGGCTAAAAACATTAGATTTAAGTGACTGCTGCCTTAGCTTTACTTGATGTCAAGTTGAAGACTGTGATCAACGATTAATAAAAAGTCACATTAAACAACATACATTTGCACAAATATCAGAAAAATTCCTTTCAAATATTTCTAAATTAGTTCCACAAAATCTGTCACTTTGATTGCTAACAAAAACAATCGCAAAATCCCAGATGGACTGATTAGTGTGAAAAGATGTTCAGTATGATTAAATTTTAAGAAACACTTACTGAATGCTGAAACAAACAGCTATTTACTGTTTTTTTAACAGTTGAATTGGTTTTATCAGCACATTTTGACACAAACGGCCCCTTAAGAACATTTAGGTATTTTATATGGCCCAAAATGACACTGACTTCGACACCAACAGGTATGACTTGGTTTTCTAGTTAGAAATACCCATTTTCTGAAGTTTTTGGATTTTGTTCCATTTTCCAACAAGGCTGTGAGATTCTGTCTCAGGAGTGATGTGCTGGAGATGTTTATAAGCCGATCTTCCCAACGTGTTGGAACCCAAAACAAAATGAACAGCCAGTAAAGCCTGGTACGTTAATCAGCTCCGGGCCCCCCACACTCTTCAGATTCACGCTGTAACCGTTGCAGCTAGACAGACGGGAGCTAGTGTTAGCAATGCAGCAGTGTGGGTTTTTCTAAAAGTAAATTTTAATATGTAATGATATTTAATGATCATGGTTATTATAAGTGCGTAAATATAGGTTGTATACATAAATATATAATTTTTCCCCCCTTTTTATAACATATATGAAAAAGAAAATGAACATCATTCTGAAGGTGTGGCGGCATCATCAATTACATGCAGAGGAAACTGCTGGGGAAACATGCGTGAACATAAAAATGTTTTATTTTTAGGCAAATCTAGACCACTGTTTAATTTGTGGAAATCAAATAGCTTTTTTAAAAAATATGCAAAATATGGATATTGGACTATTTCCTTGTTTTATTTTAACAAGTATGTTAGCTGAGATTTCTAACAGAGGAATGAGTGATGTGGTTTCTGTTCTGACTGTTGGGTTGACTGACAGGCTGTTTGTGTGACGGACGGAGAGAGGATCCTGGGACTGGGAGATCTGGGATGCCATGGCATGGGCATCCCAGTGGGGAAGCTGGCCCTCTACACGGCCTGTGGGGGAATGCCTCCCCAGCAGTGCCTGCCCGTCCTGCTGGATGTCGGCACAGACAACCAGGTAAGCAGTGATGTCTCAAAAATGAGATGTGATGTTAAAAATTCAACACAAATCAAAGTCTGAGAAGTGTGGCGCTTTTATTCAGCCCTCTCTACTTGAACACCCTAAACAGAATCCAGTTTTATTCAGAATTCAACGACCTAACGATGCGGTTTTAGACTACCTCCTCCCTTAATAAAAGAATCATTTCAAAACTGCTTATTTCAATTCACTCAAATTGTCTTTGTCTGACTATTAAAGATGTATTTGATGATCTGATGGGGGAAACTAATCCAAACACTAATGTATATTATATGTTTGACAAGGCTATAGTTGTTTTAAAAAGAAGTAAAGTTATTATTCCTCTTTAGTCATGCCTCAGAGGTCAGCCAAGTGTAGCAAACACATTTCACAGTTTACAATCAGGAAACACTCTGTGCTTTGGTGAGGTAAGCATCTCTGCCCATGCCAGTTGGGAAAGTACCTTTTTTTCTTTGCCGGTCTGGGCTGAAAAGCAGCTTGGAGAGCTGTAGTCGTGTCGGTAATTGGTTAATTTTTTATTTTTTATGCTGCCTTCTGAGTTAAGGCAACAGACAGTTTTTCATCAATCATAATGTCACAAACTGATGGAACTTTCCCATTGATCATTTAATTAGTATTTGGCTTACAGGAAACGTTTCCATTTCAGCCGTAAAAATACCAGCATATTACAAAAAATAAAAATAAAAATAAAAAACACACAAAAGATATAATAGTCAGTTCAAATTTAATTGAGAGTAAAATTGTTCATTGGTCTGCCAAATCCTCCACTTCAGCTTTTAATCTTTACAGGGTTACAGTCCCCTCCGTTGTTGAAGGGGTGAGTCCTCCAGTTGTTTGAAAAGGGTTGCGGGTTGCAGTCCCCCCCTCTCTGTTTTTTTTTTTTGATGAAATTTAAAGTTTTTTATTGTTGATTCAATGTTGCATGACTTTTTGTGTTTAATGATGTAAAGCACTTTGAAATGCTTTGCTGCTGAAATGTGCTATACAAATAAAATTTGATTGATTGATTGATTGATACAGCATTTGCAGTAATTCTGCTGCAGCTCTTGACCTCTTTCTTTATGGGCCTCTTGATCCCAAAATTCTACTTGATTTTCTCTCTGTAGTTTTATCGCCATTTCCTCAGGTCCATAGATACAACGCAAATTTAACTTATGATGGCAAAATTTTTAATTCTGTTTATCAAACAAAAAATAAATACTTTAAGGATGTTTTTTATATACATGAAATATGCGCTTTGCTCTCAATTTATTTATTTATTAATTTTTTTACGTCATTAAGAGTTTTCAACATTAGTGTTTGAAAATGTTTGCATAGTGTGTGTCCCATCTTTGATAAAAGTTTAAATCAGATGTATACTGCATCAGGTCATTTTCAGTCATCACTCTTTCTTAGTTTTTAGTCCTTACCTTTGTGCAGTTCAGATAGACTTCAGAAAAAATAAAGTCAAACCACCTCTTAGAAAGAATGAGGAAAGGTTTTGGATCATAAATAAGTGCATGCAATAGTTTCTGTGGAACAGCTAGTTGTCTCTTAGGACTTCGATTAAAACCCAGCGTCTTGGACGTCTTGCACGGGGATAAAAACGAACAGCGCATTAAACCCCGATTAAAAACATTAAAGTTTCCAAAGTTTGAAAACGTTAAAGGGGTATGAATATTTTCACAAGACACCGTGTACACATACATGCAGGCGCACATATTTTTGGCTTTCTTGCCCTGCAAATGCTTATAACTGAGATTTCACTGTATTCTGCCAAGCCCTGGTAGAGGCTTCTTTATTTCTGCCATTCTGAAGGGATGACAAGCTAAATGGGATGTAATTGGATAAATGGAGCCGCTTTGTGTGTGTGTGTGTGTGTGTGTGTGTGCGCGTGCGTGCGTGTGCATGTGTAGCTCTTCTCGACTAGCGTCATGAAGACGGCAGGCTAGAACGTGGACTCTTGGTAACCTGCTTCACTCTACAGCCCCGATTCTGGATGCATAATGGAGGAAGAGCAGGAGGGAGGCAGTGGTTGCTTTGGCTAATTATTAAAATGACTGCTATTACAGGATTGTGTTTATCCTTGAGTGGGTGTAGGGATTAATAGAGAGGCTTGAATACATCTAAGAACTTAAACAGACAGATCCCACAACGTTGAAGTTTCTTTTCTTCAAACTTATAATTTAAGGTTTTAGGACTTATTTACTTTGTGGCTTTCACTGGATGAGTCAGGCGACAGTTTATCTTAGCAGTAATTGTAAAGTCAGCAGCTGGTTAGCATGTATGTTAGCATTTATATTTTGAGGACAGAGGCACATAGTTATGCAGGAGTTTTTTTTTGTTTGTTTGTTTTACAATGGATATTATAACAACCTTCCCACATGGAAGATGGAAACCTACTTGATAAGAAGGAGAGCCTGCCTGCCCAGGTACTGAGGAGGTGGTCAATCTGATCAGGGCTGCACAGAATGTGGCATGTTTTGAGGCATAGAGTGTCCAGGCACAGTTTTAAAACTGACCATTTTGAAACAATCGCACCACAAATTTTCATTGCTAATCTTCATTCCCTGGATTATAGGAGGGATCATTCACAGCTACAATTACCCACATAGCAAGTAGACCTGAAAATGATAGTGAAGAATAAAAAAAATTAGCCTGACTCCATAGCAACATTGCTAAACTTGGGTGAAGATATTTGCGTGCAGACAATGTTGGATCTGTGGTGCATTATTGAAGCCCAAAGTGGTCATGGAAGTGATGGGAGTGAACCAACTATTCATTAGCCAGTAAAGTGGTTGGTTACTATTGAATGCATGTCTGGCAAGGAGTTATGGGCAATGCTAGCCAAGGACTTGCAGGCAATAGCCAAGGAGTTATGGGCAATGCATGCTGGTGGCTTCGAAAAACAAGCCCCTCTTGGGTAATAATGAAAACAAGCAGTGTCCTTTTGCCATCCGACGTTCCTTGGTGTTGCAGTTAGCGATCCTTTTCAAACCTAATCTTAGTTTATCTAAGATGTCAATTTTTAACTATTTTTTAACATTTGAAAACTAACTATATAACCAAAGTAGCAAAATCTTTCAGTACTTCCAAAGCTGTAATTCTAAACTCATATTTCATAGTTCCTCAGTCTGTGCAAAATAAATGACATCTTTCTAGATTTCTCCGTGTCCTTGTGCCCTGCTAGCACCGTCAGATAGAAATTATGAGTGAGACAGGCAGAACTCAGTCTAACATCTTTAGGACGAAGCTCAGCGCAAACATTGGCTCATGAATGTACCATGTCATCCTGGACAATGTGCTGTTTGTGTGTGGATCACTGATGGGACTTTACAGCTAAAGTTCTTGGCTGTTATGGATCTCATGATTTCTTGTAACTCTTTGGGTTTCAGCCCAATGTGTAACATAAACTTCTTCACTACTGAAACTTTGTCGAGCAGGACAAATAAAGTAATAGATTAAATATTAATATTAACACATCATATCGCTATCCCTAAAGCTGACATTTTGACAATAGTTGCCTTAGTGAGCAAAGATAGTTTTGCCTCTCATGAGAGGTTTAATTTCCAAGAGAAAGGGGCTTGAAGAATAGAAAGGACAGCTCAGTCAAATAACAGAAGATAATCTAGGACAGAAGGACAACTCATGTCAGCAGCTCATCACAGGTCAATGAGACCAGACCACTTTAAAACCACTCAGGGCTTCTTCTCTTTCACCCATGAAGCAGGTTTGGTCCCCATTTCTAAATGAACTCATAGAATCCACTGCCTTTCATTGAGCTTTTCATTCTTTCCCAAGCTCTTGCATCGCTTGTGTTAAATTCTTATTATAATCTCACAATGACATAAAACCAGTTTCCTTGAGAAACGGCATAATGACACCGCTACATAAATAAATTTTACTTACTTACCAGAAAAAGGCTTCCCCTGCTTTAGTTACCAATGAACTCAGCCAAACCCTCCCTATAACTATCTGTTAAGGACTTGCCAGGAAATGAGTTGCCATCTTTAAATAAATGTCCAGCATAAGCTCTTTGAGCTGTTCTTGGATGTGCTGACTGTTGACCATGCCATGGAAAGTTTGCTTTATGTCTTCTCAAAGTCATGCCCATCTTCATGGCAGCCTTTAATTTGACATGTCTAGAAGTAAGAGCTGCCTATGCCAGTACAGCATGACTAAGCTGCACAGCAGTTCACTGACCTTTTGGACAAAACGTGAACTTTCGTACATCCCAGGTAAACTTTCTGGGATGTACGAAATGATCCATGTCATATAAAACCAGTAAGCAACTTAAAACTGGGGCTGCATTCACACCAACCTTGTTTACTCCGCTTTAACCAAACTGTGATTTCTTTGCCTTGAAGGCCCGGTTGTTTTGGAGAGGTCTGAATGTCTAATCGAACACTGACCCTAGCCAGTGTTTGATTACCGTCTATCAGTCACTAAACACTGGTGACCAGAGTTTTTAGGCAAACTCTGGTTCAGTACTAATTGGGCAAATGGCTTGTGGTCTTTTTCCAAAAACAAAAGAAAAATCCTACAACTGCAAAAATCTCACACTCTCACGAATGTGCGCTTAGTGTCTTCTTCAGAGGGTTTTGTGTCATTTTATTTTTAGCTGAGCGCCACCACATGCAAAGGAGGCGAACAACTTGCTCAAAGGGTTTCAATTGTTTGACAATGCAGTGTGAAAGCGAACCACATCAGCTGAAAATGTAACAAGTGTTGCAATTTTGGTCCCCAGTTGAACCAAGTTTACCGGACTATTAGGTGATAAAATACTCTTGATATTTCTCTCCCTTTACAGTCATACTCTGAAATTAAATCCTGTGGAAACATCTTGTTTCAGAAGTCTTCCAACCAGTAAATAGAGTCCATGTTGTTGTAGTTTAATTTCAGTATAAATGCAGCTGTTCAGTAAAGGCCTTAGAGGTCTGTTAGAGAACATGAGGAACAAACATCATGGAGAACAAGGAAGAAAGTAGACGGGTCAGGAAGAAAGTTGTAGAGGCATCTAAAGTAGACAAGACAGGCCTAAAGCAACGGGCCATGTACATTGATCATGCTTTGGACCTTTTGGACAGAGTTGGTTGAAAAACAAACAGAGCTCAACAGTCAAGCTGGAAATGCATGGTGTTGGTGTCATTATGCTGTGGGAGTACTTTAGTTGAGCAGGGAGAGAGAGGTGGGTTGTAGTTGAAGGGAAGATGGATGGAGCTAAATACATGGCAATGCTGGGAAGAATATATATTGGAGGCTGTCAAAGACTTCAAAGTGGGAGATTCATGGCCCTAAACATACAGCCAGAACCCCAACGGGATGATTTAGATCAAAGCAGAACCATGAGTTTGAATTTCCCAGACCTAAATCCAATTGAGAGCCAGAGACGTTCTCCATCTCATCTGACTGAGCTGGAATATTTTGTCTGAAACACAACACAACACTACACCCAGAAAGTTAAAATTTGTGTGTGTAGCTTGACAGAATGTGAAAAAGGTTTAGAGGCATCTGTCAAGGAAGTACTGATGACCTTTCCTTGCACCTGACTCAAAAGTCTCTTTTCTGTTTCTTTTCATTTCCTTCTGAATGGTTTACTCTGATATATAGTTCCTAACTCCTCATACTTCACGTTGGTGTTCCTTCATTCTTGATAACATTGCAATGTTCTGGTCAACAGGTCAAATTAATCCTCCCTCTAATTTGCTCTTCCCACTGGGTTAGGTTTGTCCCCAATCTGAACTTGTTTCCTACAGCTACAGATTTAAAACAATGCATGCTCCTTTCAAAACTAACACAGTATGAGGAATAGCACAGCTTTTCTAGTGCTGCATAGTTATAATAACCACTGTTCATAAATCATGACCATATCATTTGACTGAAAGATTTGCTTAACTCTGAGAAGTGTCTGCAAATTGGTGTGAATTTATGTCACACGACGAACCGCTCTCACTTACTACAACACGTGGCTGTCATCACAGAGGTCTAAAAACTGTACGAATACAAGTCAGAGCTCATGCAGAGATGTGTTTCTGCTCACTTTTTTAAATAGCAGAAGGAGTACACACAATCAGCCATGGAATCGCTGAGTAATTTTTGGGACTGCTGATCTGGTGTGAATTGCATTTGCAGAGCAATTTCCATGAAGTCTCACAGAAAAGGTGTGCAAGCTCAGCAGCAGGGCTCGCAGTAAAAATTAATGTTGCAAAATCTCAAGAAATTTCTGGTATCAATTACCACCTCCTTTATGTATTGATTTTTTTATTACTCATTTATTTTCCAGGCACTACTGAAGGACCCCTTCTACATCGGCCTGAGGCATAAGAGAGTCCGAGGCCAGGCCTACGATGACCTGATCGATGAATTTATGAAAGCCATTTCGGACAGGTACGATGACCGCACTGACCCTTCCAGTCGTCATTTGCCCACTTCCTTTCTTCCGTCTGCTATCATCATTTCGGGCCGGTAATCGCACAGGGCCCTTAAAAGAAAAATGTTAAGCAGTTTACCATGCAAAGTGACCAGATGCTGCAGGATTCAGAGGTCTGGAGTTTACCTCAACATTAACTCAGTTTTACCTCCTTTCAAACAATTTGACATTCTGGTTGGCAAAAGTTTTTATTCGTCACTGTTTTGTCGCTTCTCGGATGACTATGGGATAATTTTGTGAAAGACCAGACACTGTAAAACAGAGTTTTAGTTGTAGTTTAAAACAACAGACAAAATTAATACAATGTTGACATTTGATATCGGTATAATTATCTTATATAAGTTAGCACCCTGTTGGTGTGACTTTCATTACTTTCATAGAACTCTAGTTAGCTTGCCTTGAAAGTCAGATGCATTTGGGGAGATGTAGCCTAGCCGTTGCCTTCCCGGACAATTCCTCTTGATTATTATCCCATTTCAGTTCTCCGTCTGCGCTTTCTCACATTGACTTAGAAGGGAGGAACAAGTTGTTCAAGGGGTTTGGTTTGTTTGACACAGTGCAGTGTGAAAGTGAACCGCACCAGCCAAAAATGGAACAATGTTGCAATTTTGGTCCCGAATCAAATTGAGTCTCCTGGACTTGTGGATTCCCTTTATAACATTTATACTTTCCTTAACTTGGAGGCTTCTGAAAAACTGTTGGCATATTAAAAACAAAGGTTGAAGCTTAAATAGTTAAAATAGAGAAACTGTGCTATACTGGATTAGGCCTTCCTGACACCTGCTGAAATTCTTGCTCTCTATTTAAATGGACGACTGTTTTATGAAATTTTAAATCAGGGTCGAAGGAGATCGGCGGCAATAACGAAACCAAACGCTGTTTCTGCTAGAATTAAATGTGCTCGATTTATTTCCCCACAGATTACAGCAAAATAACATGCATCAAACACTGTTACTGCTAGAACAAATATGCTCGATTTATTCCCCACAGAACACAGTACAAAACACTCTATGACTAAACACGTGATGCTCGATTCATTCAAGTTACCAGCGCTTACCTCGTGAAACTTGGCCGGAGAGCCTTCGGCCTAGAGATAAGCAGTAGCATCAACGTAGCTGGGCATTCGGACGCGATCCACAGCAGACTCTGACCAAAACTGCGGGCTTTTTCATATTTAATCTCTTAAACAAAGGATCAACGACAGACATTACGGTAAGTTTCTTTCAAAAAGCTTTTTACACCTCTGCACCTCCTCTGACTTCAGTTTAAACACCGCACCATTACTGAAAATAGCTACCATGGAGTCCTCCTCATTCAGTAACAACTCTCTCACCAAAGAGTGTTTTGAGGATGTCAGAGCTGGAGTACAGTAGGGTAAGGGCACCTTTATTTTGTTGTTTTTCTCTGCTTATCCTGGTAGCAGGATCCAGGAAAAGTACTTAAAACCCCTTTGAGTCAAAGAACATATTTAATGTTGTTTTATAATGCCATGTTAATACGTCAAACATTTTTATATTGCTCATTGTTTCTTCTTTAACTAGACTGCACAAGCCTCTGTTAAAGTTTACTGCTTGGACATGTTACTTATTTGGTTGAGTCTCATCTGAGCTATACCTTCCTTTGAGGAGCTGGAATTGTTTGAGACAGATTGAGTCTGGTTGGTCTGATTATTACCCTGCGTGTTTCCTGCAGTCATGTTTCTGATTAGAACCTTCGTACACTCTTCCCCCGCGTTCCATCATGTCTGTGCCCATGTGCCACGAAGCCATGCGTGAACACGCATTGGCCTGGATAAGCCTCATCCTCAACCCACAGAGACTGTAGTCCAGGGAGAGAAGTCTGGGTCTGGGTCCGCTCCAGCTGGCAACAGGAAACCATGACTTTAATAACCGGGTAGCTTCCCAAATGCAGGGAACAGAGTTGACTCTTTTTTTTTTCTTCTTCTTCTTCTTTTCTTCTTCTCCCCACCGGAGCCAGATTGGCGGAAAATGAATAATTATGGGCTCAGACGTTCAATGAATGATTACAGCTCCAAAGTAATATTCACGTTCATTTTTTTGAAAATCTAAACATGGGCTAAAATACTCCACACTGAGTCATCATCGATGAGCAGGAGTCTGGCATAAAATGAGTTTTAGTCTTTTAGTCAAAACTGTCCTGTGCTCAGGGGGATCGATTAGTGATGCAGTCTCATGTTTGGTTTGAGGCCGTCCAGCTTAGCTCCTGAGTTTTCACAATGATCCCAGTAACATGACTACACACACTCACAGCACAGAAAGAAAGGAGAGACTCGGGAGTTTTGAGAATTTCCTCTTGCTCTGGTTTCATACATTTAAACACCAGGCAAAAACACACAAATAGTTTAAATCAAAGATGCACCAATCCGATTTTAACATCTGTATTGGTCCCAATGTTAAAAAAAAAATTCTAGACCTGGTATTGGTGACAATGTGTCCAATCCATAATAGCAGATCTATTTAGTGTAATTCTATGCTTTGCGCTCTGAGCGACATCACGCTTCATTATAGTTTACATCAAGTTTAGAATCCCTAATTGCACTTTCTGAACCATTTTGAAGGTTTGTTGCAGTTTTTTTTTTTTTTTTTACATGTTTGACCAAGATAGTCAATCTATTGTTCCATCTACAGTTTGTTTATTTTTTTTATTATTTTTTTTAATTGTCTGTTTTACTCCTAATTGCACTGAGTCTCATATTAAAATTGTGTTGTTTTTACACGTTTGACCAAATTTGTGAAGCTGTTGGTGTATTTAAATCTGCTGTACTGGTGCAGAGTTATCAGATAAATATATTATCAAATACATTTATGTCTGTTTTAAAAATATATATATTTATATTAATTTCAGCTGTTTTTCTGTATCGGATCGGTGTCGGCCAATACTAAACTTCAGATATTGGTATAGGAGGTGAAACTGCAGTAGGTTTACTATTGAGACCCTAGCATAAAATTATAATAATATACACTTAACTTCTTATTTCACAGACAGTGCAAGAAATATTTTGCTTTCAGACTAAATATTTTTAGCCAGAAGTGACTTGAGTTCAGCATTTTTCAGATGGCTTAAAAACAATGTTTGTGAATGAGTCTGAACTGTGCTGAGCGTTTCATCAGACCACTGAATACTGCAAGACTGTGACAAACGTAGAAGAGGATTTGAACGTTTCTTATGTTAGGATTTTCTGGATCAAAATAATGAGAAACTTTTAAGTTGATTTAGTCCTTCATTGCATGTTATTATGGAGCTATTCAAATATTTAAGAAAAAAAATATTTTTGACTGCCAGAATTATCAACAACTGAATCTTTCTCCATCCGAAACGTCCAGCAGGATAACCCAATAATGTATATTTCTTCTCATTTCAGTCATTCATTTACTTAACACAAAAATAGAACAGAACAAGTCTGAAACTGATGCGTTGCACCAAGAGCAAATTTGCAATTCCAGTCCTTGGTTAGGCATTTCTATACTTTCATTTTCACACTGCTCTGTGACAAACTAACCAAATCCTTTGAAAAACCTGTTCACCTCCTCGCCTGTGGTGGCGCTGCATCAAGAACCACTGAAGGAAAACCTCTGAAGAAGACACTTATTACAACTTTCTTCTTCACTAAATGTAAACAAAAAACAAAAATGGGGTGGCGTCAGATTTTAGAAGTTGTAGGATTTATTTTCCTTTTGGTAAAATTAGCTCCAGACACACACTACTTTGTTTTGGTTATATTTACCCTGAATACCCTGCATCATGGTCCGGATCATGCTTTTGAGCGGCCTCCAGTCCACTTGTCATTCGTGCATTCAAACCGCACCAAACTTCACTTTAAATGAACCGAAACCCAAGTTTTTATGTGGACAAGAATTCAGAGTTTGGTCTGCATCAGAATTTGATTGCTCATTCACACATTCCCCAAACGAACCAAACCGTCCAGGCAAACAAGCTGGAGTTTGATTATAGCCAACCAAACAGGGCTGGTGTGAATACACCCTTAGTTTGTCCAGAAACTTGAAGTCTTTCAAAACTGAACTACCCAGTTAATATCTTTTTGTCTTTTTTTATTTATTTATTTATTTATTTTGAATGGTTGGGGATTTGAGACATTTCCTAAACAAGGTTGGTTGGCATACAAACACTACAGGAATGCTATCAGCTATTTTAAAACTCTTGGCACTGAAAAAAAAGTGAGGATCAGGCAGACAGGCCGATGGAGGGAGCAGCAGAAAGGGAGAGAAAGAAAGAATGCAGAATGTGTCTTGTTTTTTTCTTTTCTTTTTTTTTTTAATGACGGCTCAGGGATTTGAGAAATAATGTGTGCTGAGAGATGCTGGCTCTCTGGAGAACGGGGAGTGGGCTGGGGATTTATTAAGGCCTCCTCCACAAAACCCCTTAGGGACAAAGGTAACACACATCCTATTAATGCGTGTGTGTGTGTGTGTGTACACAAATGCTTGCATCTACACACAGATTCAACAGCTGTGTTTGGACAGAGCGCCCTTGTCTGTGACCTTTGTTTTGGTCGTCTAAGGCTGTCCAGCCCTCATGAAGGCGCTCCAGCCAAATGAATCGGTTCGTACCTCCTCATCAGTTTCCAGTCTCGACACTGAAAGGAGAAGAAACGCGCATCGCGCTACTTCCCTGTAGCAGCACATTTCAGCTGTAATAACACCAGATTGAGTTTCTTGAAAGAGTCACTTGTTACATCTATAGGAACCTAAATGAGAGCTATAGACTAAACAAACACACGGAAATGAGGAATGTTTGCTTTGTCATATCTTTCCATCTGCAATTATCTCTAGTAGGTCTTGATGAGATTCTTAAAGACAGCTAAAAGATCCCCTAAGACAACCCCAGCAGTCTTAATAAAGTTTTTGCAAACCCTGGATTGGATTTATTTTTTCTTTGCTTCTGTTTAACATATTCTTGTGGTGACTCATAAATCACAGGAAAGTAAAAGTTAAAGGCCAAAAAACAGTCTTGTGTTGTTTTGGTAGAATGGCTCAGATTGCTTTGACAGACTACTGGTTTCCCCCGCCGCCCCGTATTAGTTTCAATACTTATGAGTTTCTATTGCTCAAATTTCTTCAAACAGACATATGACTTAAATGTTGTGATGTATGGAAAAAAAATGCATGAAAGGTTTCATATTTAAAAGCTGTCTAGTTCTCTGGAGTGCAGCTCACCATGAAGAGCTTCACAAAGCACTTTGATTGACCTGGATTGGTGCTTTTTTTCATGTTAGCACTGGGAGGAGATGAAGGAGTTTAATCTTATCACAGATTATCTGTCTCGTACTACACTGTCACGACATAGTGACAGTTTTAAGTAATATCTAAAAAAGTTCTTTATATATCTATATATAAAACTTGCATACCCCAGCTTTAAAAGGAGACAGACACCTGTCTGGTATGCAAATTAAGTTTGCATTTTTTAAAATTCATCATTTATGAAGTGGGCATGACGATCTGAATAAGATGGTAGTCAAAAACAGATTTGAATCGCCCATTGTTGCATATTGACTGTTTTTTTTTCTTGTTTTTTTTTCTGCATCGGTAGCTGTTTCTATTACAAATGTGCACAAAACTTTGTCAATATTCCACTAATGTTGAAAAATCACAATTTCACAGTTACAGTGGTTCCATTAAGTAAGAAATGCCATTGAAATCGAAAGTGGATAAGCTTGTTCACGTGGTAAGTCGTTAAAAAACATGTCAAGCCATCATCCTCCTACCACTTCCTGTCATCATCTTCTTCATGATCTGCGCCAGTGGCAACATCCGGTTTTTGATCATGTGATTTGTGTGATGCGAAAAAAGTGTTTCCATTGCAGTTTTGCGAAATAAATAAATTTCGATATAGCCAAAAAAAAAAGCCCTCACACATTTTTTTTTCTTTTTTAATTGACGTGCTCCCATTATACAAATGTATTTTCAAAATGCTAAGTTACCCAATTATATGGTCAATGATCACAAATCCACCTGTTTTTTGGTGCTTAGAGTAGCTGGGTACAACCTCTGCTGCTCAGGGATTAGTTTGCTTTTTAAAGCATGGTCAGGAATAATACCAAGCTATTTAAATCTCCTGGGTGTGCCTTGGCCTGCGTAGGTTTCTGCCCATAATTCTTCCGTGAGAACATAAAAGCAAATCATGTCGTTGCGTCTTTGTCATTTTCTTAAATCTAGTTGGCATGGGAACACGTTGGGACTTTCTGACGTCCCCAGGGTGTCCAGTGAAAGTTACAAAGACACCGAACGCTGAACAGAAGCTTCGTTTTTGACAAACTCTGCCCCCCACACATACACATTGTTAAATAAAATAAAACACCGTACAAGGACCCTATCTTTATTGGTGCGTACATCAGAACGAAGCGCCTCAGCAGAGTGGTGTTCCTTTGTTTAACACCACAATCACAGATATTCACTCTGCAATTTGTGGTCACCGAAAGCTCATAAGTATGCATGCGTTTATTTTATGTTCAATCTGAGAGGCAATTAGGGTTTGCACTAAAAGATCTATTTTCGAGCATAAGTTAAAAGAAAGCAGCTCGGTCCTTCCCAGCGAGCAGCAGCAGGCGAACGCAGCTCTCCTCCGGATCATCTTAAGCCAGCCTGTGAACTCGCGTGAACTCACGCTCGCAACAGCGGCTGCGCTGTTTTGCTTGGCGATAGGGCAGCGCCCGCATCCACCCCGCGCCTTGTCGCCCGTCTCCGAGTCCTCGAGGCGAAACACAATGAAATGTTTATAGCTCCCATTTTTGGCCTCATAATTCCTCGTCTTTGTTGCCGTCTCTCAGCAGCGCTGCGTGTCTGATAGAAAACACATTTCTCTTGTGTCGGCGCTGCTCCGGTGTTGGCAGGAAGCTCGCGCCGCTGTCGGCGTCTGCGCCGGGGCGTCCAGTGTCCTGCTGTGAGTCACAGGACAGAAGTCTCTCATCAGGACATAAAGTTTTATTGCATCTGAAATTTATCTTTCTTTTTTTTGTTTGTTTTGCTTCACTTCCGCCCAGCTCTTTGCAAGCGGTTCTGCAGTGACCATAACAAGTGGGAAACCGCTTTACTGAGCTGGTCAATAACAATGCTTTCCTCACAAAGGACTAGGGTAGCAAAGGAGACCGGAATACCTGGAAACAGAAAGGAAAGGATGGCTCTGAAAACAAGCACCTCTCACTGTTATCCAGTGTCTCGGTCCTGGAAGCTGATGTTTATCCAGCCTGTCCCCAATTTCCTCCATCGCTCTGCCACTGGAACAGAAGCTGTGTTGTCTTAAATTTCCAGTTCAGACGAACCTTCTCCTGTTTTCTTTCCACAGCCTCGTTTTGAATGTGCCGAGTTCAGAGCAGAATTTCTCCCTAAACTTCTGCGCAAAACAGAAACCTTTCCCCCACACTCTGACCCGGCCACTACTGTGTTTGACCATGGAGGCAACGTGTTCAAGGAGATGTGCAGTGTTAGTTTCCTGCCAATACAATGAGGCTTGTTTACCTTTTTAAGGAAAAATCGCAGTCTGTTGATACTGTTGAGCTGTTTGTCATTATGAGGCAGAAAAAAAATTTGCACAGACATTAAAATTCTCACTATTAACACAGTATTTTCCCTTAAAAGTGATATTGTATATTGTCATCCTCGTAAAATAACAGCCCAAGTCATTTTTTGTTAAGTTTTTTTTTGTTTTTTTTTTTTGTTGTTGTTGTTGAAATACTTTCAGCAGACCTAGGTCATTATTTTAGGAGGATGACGATGTTTAATATTACAGAAAAGGCTAAAGGATGTAGAGAATGACATGAGACAAAGAAGAGAATCATTTTGTTTCCCGTTTTAACGGAGGAGAAACTTCTTTGTCACAGGTCCAGATGCTGCTTGTGAACTGCAAACCTCCAGTAAACTCCTCAGCATCTGCTGGAAGCCTTGGAAACCTGGGAAGCCTTCCCCTCTGTCACTACTGAATCTAACTCACAGAGTTGTAGTGCTGGGCTTATGTTTTGTTAAAAGATGGGGTATTTTTTGAGAAGCTTATAGGTGTTGTCTGGGTAGCACAGGTGGTCTAAGCAGCAACTTGTAAAAGCGAACACTGCTGGTTTACTTGAGCTCCCTCATTAAAACTCCTTCTGTGATGTTCTAAAATCACATGGGGGCGCTGAGGTGGAAAAAGTTCTATTGCATTTCTCTCCAAAAAGCCTAATTTTCAATTAACAGCAAAACGTTAACAGTTCCTCTTGATTGCTCGTGTTGCTGTGCTGCGTTGAGCAGCAGCTCCTCCCTCTGACAGAGTTATGCCTTGTCTGTTTTCTCCCACTGCGTACTTTACGGCGTGGCAGTTTAGCCACGAATGAAATGCATGTCTTCTGCTTGCAGGTACGGCATGGACTGTCTGATTCAGTTTGAGGACTTTGCAAACATCAACGCTTTCAGACTGCTGAGCAAGTACCGCAACAAATACTGCACATTCAACGATGACATCCAAGGTAACCGGGGAAACCGTTCACCTTACACCAACAGAGTATCAAGAGTTTTGGTTTAAAATGATGAATGAAGAGAAAAGTGAGGTTAAAGCAGCAGAAAAGATCGATGAGAAGGACGAGGAAAAGAAAAGAAAGATGTTTTTTTTTTAGCACAGATAATACATTTGAAACAAGACTTTTACATGTATAGTTTTTTCCTACTATTTCACATTGAATCAAACTCATCTGTTCTTGTTTTACATCAGTCAGGACAACCAAAATTATTTATATTCAATTATCGCCAGAATATTGATGGACAGAATTTTAGAAAGTGCTTCAATGCTTCCTTCAAACTTAAGTCCACATATACAAAGTTTACTTTGTTATGTGCCTGTCACAATAACAAATTTTGCTGGACGATAAATTGTCATGAGAAGTTATCGAGATAAACGATAATATTGCAGTTTTGAGACCATTTTTAAGTTATACAACTCTTTTGGCATAATGATCTTCTGAACCTTCATCCAACTGTGAAATACAGTGGCACCATCAGGTTGTGGGGGTGTTTTACTGTAGGTGGACATGGTGCACTCCACCAAATAGATGGCATCACAATGAAAGAACATTACATGGAAACACTGAACGAAAAGCTCAAGACAGGAAGTTCAGTTTTGGGCATAAACTGGTATCCCTGAGCAGTGGTGCAAAAAGTGGGCATGCAGCGCATGCATGCGCTGCACCAGAGGGGGCGTCAAGACCCCGCCTGGAGGGGGGGGCGGGCCGATGATGCCTTCGCATACACTTCAGCGCGCCTTTACGTTCCTTCACCTCGCGCACATATAGCGAGTTTTACCTTTTACGTTTCTTCGTCTCGAAGGGGGGGGTGGTAGTAGAGCGAGCGTAAGATTTCTACGCTCCTTCACCGTGACGTACCTTCCTTCGGGAGCGTGAGGGGGGGCCGATTTATGTTTTCACATCCACCTGAATAATATGTAGTTGCGACCCTGTCCCTGACGGACAAAACTCTTCAGGAGTTAAGTGAAAGTTTAGTTTATAAATCTGTAAAAAGACACAAATCTGGAAACCTTCTCCCTCGAGTTCCTGCAAGTCACTAGACAACATTTCCACACATAAATCAATTATCACAATCTCTACACTGTAACGCCACTGATGGACCAAGAGCCGTGGTGGACCATGGCAAAAAAAACTTCAGTTTGTTCTGAACGGAAAGGCTGAGACGCCGCAGAACAATAAAGTCAACAGTGACCCAATAAAATGTCAGAGTGTGGAACATTTTGTTGTTCTTCATGTCATTAATAAGCCTAATGAGGAGCCGAGTCTTCAGTGTTGAACGACAGTCGTTTCTTTGAAGGGTTTTAGCTCAGGACAAAAAGACAGACCTTTCTTTTACATGTACAGTATTCACCCTAAAACTAACGGCAGTTCTAATCTGTTGTTTTTTTATTTCTTTCAAATCCATTCAAAACTCAGTCTTTGAACATATAAACAGTAACATTAATGTTATAAACTCTGAGTTCAGTGTTAGAAAAGTTTAATTGACTCCGGTCTCTTTCTTCAGGAACAGCAGCTGTAGCAGTAGCCGGACTCCTCGCCGCCCTCCGCATCACCAAAAGCAAAATGAGCAACCACACCATTGTGTTCCAAGGGGCCGGAGAGGTTCGTGCATCAGCCGTAAAAAAATAAAATAAAATAAAATAAATCATGGTCTAGTATTTAATGTGACCAATGAGGTGCAGTGTCAGGCGTTTTGAAACCAGAACTTTCAGTTTTTTTGTTTTTGCTTTTTTGTTTTTTCCTCTTGTCCTTTTCTCTCCCCTTCCTTCTCTGCTGTTTCCAGGCAGCGATGGGAATTGCCGAGCTCATCTCCATGGCGATGGAGAAGGAGGGACTCGGCAAAGAAGAAAGCTTGAAAAAAATCTGGATGGTTGACTCAAAGGGACTCATCGTCAAGGTGTCTTAGTGGGACTGAAAACACACACGCACCCAAACACACACCAACTAAACCGAACAGAATGCAGGTATTTGCAACGATTTGCCTTAGCTAATTGTTTTTGAGGCCAGAGACCCCATGTATTTCCAATCCAAAGTCTTCACATATTAATATTCAGTTAGAAGCCTTGTGGTCCTCGGTTTATGTTGCACTGGAGAGTTTTGTTACCTTCACATTTTAGCTTAAGAAAATCCACTTGGGTTGGAAGGTGCAATTTATTTTCTCACAGCAGTGACCGATGCAAAGCTCGTACTGTGAGAAAACGTTAATGGGGCAGTTTTATGTGTTTTTATAGCACAATCAATAAACTGTTAAAATATATTAAATATTACTTAAAATAAATTTTACTTTGTAATTCAATGCCTTTAAATTGGGACTCTGTCTCTTTAAAAGCGCCTGCTCTTTCTGAATCTTAACCTTCAGGAAGTTATCACAACATGGCTCCTCTATTAACCCTTTACCAGCATTTCACTGAGAAGTAGCTCCTATAATGAGCTCAGCAGTTTCACCAGGTGTTTGCTAATTGCTGCTGGCTAGTCTGAAGGAGCTGAGTGGGGGAGACATGGGGAAGGGCTGCTCTGTGAGGCAGAAGCTACCAAGCTTGGAAGCTGCAGCTCTAAGGAGGAGCTTTGTCTCGAAGGCAGGACTAGGTTCACACAGGCGTTTTTCACAGCTGATTGGTTGCCACGGGAGATCAAAGAGTGTCTCAAATATACATGAAAGAATCAAGGCAACACTGCAGGTATGTTTTTAATGGGAGAATAACACTATAACATGATGTAAAGCTAAAAAAAAGAGGATTGTTACATAATACTGCCCCTTTAAGAAATGTAACTTTGGAGTTTTAAAGAGCAAAATTTTGAATTTTGGTTTTCACTTTGAGCTTTACCTTGGAATGGATGAATGATTAAAAGTATTTGGTAGAGTTGAGAAAACCTTGTGGCACTATGGGTTAGGGAACTATAAAAGTTACTTTACCTGCCCTGGAAGATTTTGTCTGTTCAAATATTCAGGAAAGATATTCAGGTTATTTTGTGTATTTCAAACCAACATAGTAGGCTTGTGACCAATTTTAGAAAAGATGCAGGTTAATCATATTTTTCCAATGATTGTTTCATTTGTTTGTTTTTTTTTTGTTTTGTTTTTTTGTTTTTTTTATATGTTTGTTTCTTTCTTTAATATTTTTAAACTTGATCCCCTCACTCTGCATCCTTAGGGCCGGGACAACCTGACCCATGAGAAGGAGCGATTCGCCCATGAGCATCCTCAGATGAAAAACCTGGAGGATGTGGTCAGGGATCTGAAACCCACAGCTATCATTGGTGAGCAACACTTTTGTTCATGTTGTCAGACATCAGCAGATCGTTTCCAGACACGCTTCAGTACCGAGGATCCCACTGACCTTCAGTGCTCTCACATCCCAGGTGTTGCTGCTGTTGCCGGAGCTTTCTCTGAGCGGATCATCAGGGACATGGCTTCCTTCAATGAACGACCAATCATCTTCGCCCTTAGCAATCCAACAAGCAAAGCCGAGTGTACTGCTGAGGAATGCTACACATTCACAGAGGTACGCAGTGCTGCATTGTGGTTAACGCTGTAATTGTTATTATTTTGTCTGCCACAAAGAGTCAACATACTGCTGTGTGAATGGATGGCTATGTAAAACATTGTGTAACTATTATTTTAAAAACAAAGACAAAATTATTATGAAATTTAGCACAGGTAAAGCACAGGTATGACTTTTCTTTTAATTATGGTTTTAATTCCATGATAATCTTGAGTATGATTTCATTGGGGTAGCTAATTATTATGACTAACTATAAAGCTTAGTTTAGCCACATTTTATATATATAGTGGTTTATGCATGTCTATGCTGAGGTTAACTTGCATTATATTGAACTCTGTCTCGCTGCAGGGGCGTGGCATCTTCGCCAGTGGCAGTCCGTTTGACGCCGTCACCCTGCCTGATGGGAGGACGTTCCATCCTGGTCAGGGCAACAACGCCTACATCTTCCCCGGCGTGGGCCTGGCCGTCACCGCGTGTGCCTTGCGACACATCACAGAGGATGTCTTCCTGACTGCTGCAGAGGTGATGCACAAACGGTTGTAAAAATTGAATTGAATGATGAAAGCTTACACTGAGGATTTAGAGATGGGCTGGGTTATTATGCCGCATTATGTAACAACGTAATAAATCAGACTTCAAAATGTAATGAAAGATTGTTAAAAACAGCTTGATGTGATAATAGACGCAAAATGTCGTAAAATTCTTTGAATGCATTTTTTTTCCTTCTTTCTGCCTATTATGTAATAACATTACATTTTGCAGCAGTTAGTACAAAATGAGGAGGTAGTTCATGTTTTTAGAAGTGATGATGGAATGGAGGAATAAACAATCATAAACTGTGTTCATCCTGTTAATTACACTTCTAATAACGATCATGTTGTAGATTTAAATTGAAACTTTGGTCAGTAAACACAGAAGTTTTGGTCTTTTAGGTGGCTTTTCAGACTCATCTTCATAACCCTCTACCTTAAAATACATCCAAGGATTTTATTACATTTTGTGTGTGTTATTGCGTAACGTGGCTTTAATGATGTTTCGCTACATTTAAACTCCTTATTTCATTACATTGCTACATAATCCACTGCGGCATTACATAATAAGACAAATCATCTCATTTACATTATTCTAGCTTAAAAATCCTGCAATTATACTAGATGTAATTTATTTTGCATTCACCAAAAAAATGTATAAATAAAAAACAGGTATCGTATCTCGTCACTACGAGATGAAATAAGATCTCGTAAAAAAACCGAACCGTTTTGATTGTTTTGGCTTGAATGACATGTGAGTTTAAGAGTCTGAGTGTCACAGCAACTAAAAGTTTGGTATTTATTGATCAAAGTTTAAAATGCATAATCTAAATTGTGATTATTCTTAGAAGCATATTGATCAAGACGAACACAAACTATGGCTCATATCATCTGATGGGCCATATTATTAAACCATCAATGTTTTTAAAATGGCAAAGGCTGCATTTTTAATAATCGGTTCAAAATATAATAACATTATTACATACTGCAGGAGAAAGTATTACAAAATGTGTTCAAGGATATTTTTTTGCTTACATTTTTTGTCAGTTGTCGCATAATTTGGTTTTATTACATTCTAAAGTCGATACTTTAGACTACGTTACAATGCTGAAAGAATAAAGCCATTCCACAAACAGTTTATTATCGAGCATCGGTGGGTAATGTACATTCTCATTCTCGGAAAATGAAAATCAATCCCTAATTAAAGCGACGGTTCTCCGTGGGAGTCCCTGACCATGAGAGCGACAGACTACCAGTCATTCTGTGTCTTTAAATGGCACCTCTCCAGTTGTCTCCTAATTACAAGCTCTTCTCTTGTAATTACAAGATCTGAATCTCGTAATTATGAGATAAGATGCCTATTTCTTTTTTTTTCTTCCCATAAATGTTTATAAAGGTTCTGAAAAATCTTAAAATAAAAGCAATTCCTCCTAGCAGCCCGATTAGCTTCTTTACGCTGACTTAAGCGGTTTTTTGCAGGCCCTTGCTGACCAGGTGACTGAGAAGGATCTCGCCGAGGGAAGACTCTATCCTCCTCTCTGCTCCATCAGGGAGGTTTCTCTTAAACTGGCTGCTAAGGTGAGACAAAGTTAAATCCAGCCTGCCACGTCAACATGCGAACACAGCGAGAAGTATAATTCCACCCCTCCCCAAAAATTTTCTGTTTACAGATCATGGATTACGCTTACTGCCACAAAATGGCCGCTCTTCGCCCCGAGCCGTCCGACAAAGAAGCGCACGTTCGCTCGATCTGCTACAGCACAGACTACGACGACTTCGCCGTTGACTCGTACCAGTGGCCAGAGGACTGCGTAGCTGTGCAGTCGTGTAAACTTTGATGATCTGTACACAGAAACCAAAAAAAAAAAAGCCCTTAAAAGGGATCATTACTACTGAGGTGCAATGTTATCCAAGGATCGGGAGTTGGGATGTAAAAGATGTATGCATAACTTTCCTTTTGATTATATTAATGTACTTTAAATTCACCAAAGACAACTCAAGCACTATTGGTTTGCATTATGAAATATTGCACCAGTTGCTGTCGCCACTTTGTTTTACATAGAGGGGGATGTTATTTTATGGTTTAACTTTTTAATTGTACTGTAATAGTTAAAGACACTTTGCCAAATAAAATAAAAAAAGTTTTTGATTAAACGTTGTCTGGTCAGTCTAATGCTCCCAGAGTTATAAAGGTTAAAAGTTCTATAACGTTCATGATTTCTTCTGGCTGAAGAAATCATAGGAAAATCCCGTATTTTCCCTGTTCGTCTCAAACGTGTGGATGATGTTTTGGCTCCCTCCAGTGGTCAGTTGATGTCATTGTGACATATGGATTGTCAAAACTGAGACACTCCACATGTGACTTCATGTAACTGTGTTTAGTAATTTTACCAAAACTAATATTCTCTTCTCAGCTTTAATAATAAAGTAAATTAAACCATAGAAAAGCACAAAAATATGAGCAGAATGAAAGACAAACAAATGCAGCAGGTGAACTGAACCGTTTTGTGATCCTGCCGTATATGGTGTGATGTGGGTTAAACTGTGGAGAGAGGGGGGAGTGACATTATTTAATCGATCAATAACTAGTCAAACAGTCTGTGGGCTACCAGAGGCCTCGGCTGGCCCACTGCCCAGGCTCGTCTGAAGCCAGTGCTCCCAATAAGCAAACAGACCAGCCAGCATCCAGTGCTTGGCGTCCCACCTCAGGCGATGCTCTGAGCCGTTTGGTCCTCCCAATTTCTTTCGTTTGCTCAGCCACTAAATCCCCCATTTTGGCCTCAGGCAACCCCAGTTCTGTCCTCACGATCAATATGTCTCAATGTCAGCAGGGGCCAGTTTAAGTGTGCAGGCTGCAGACGGTTTTGATCCTTTGCCAGTGTTTATCAGAAATACTGTCACCAGATTTAAGTGTATTTGCACAGCTTAGAAACTCACATTTTGTGTTCATATTTTCAGAGATATGTAACTTTTCGCTGTTGTTGCTGTTGGCCTAAGTAGTTAATTGGTTTATTACTACATTAAATATTAGGCATTAAAAATGTTTAAGTTGAGGAATGAATGAATCAACCTCATAGCAGTTAACAATTGTTTTTAAACAAGTTTCTGTGCTAGGTTGTATCCGGCTGCAGCTAGTTTAGCTCCAGCGCTAATGCTGGCTAGCAAGCTTAATCTAGCTAAGCTAGTCATTCTCAGTGAACGGCATCCTGGCTGTGGTTGCCAGGGAAATTGTCATAATGCCAGCTTATTGAAATAGATACAATACATTTTTGCAACAATTTTAATATTTAACTATATGCGAGTTTTAGATTTTGATTTGTTTTGTTAACATGGCAGAACCAACAAAATGAGTAAAACTGTCCTAAAAAATAAGTTTACAGTCTTTAAGCTACTGCACTGACAATTTCTGCTCATATTGATTGATTAAAATCTACTTATATGCTATGTAGGTAGTTTTGTAAGTGTACCTCTAGAAAAAAAAAGTTATTCTTGGTGTTTTGCACCCAGTGAATGAAAATCGGGGGCAGATTTAGTAGAACATCCCTAAAAGAAAATATAACAATACATATGAAATATTCCAAGTCTCCTGCTAAATATTTCAGCTTTTATATTTAATACCACTCAAAAAGATTAAGTCTGATGTTTACAACTCGTTCCACCTTTCATCACAACAATTATAGCAGATCACACTCCCTCTCCTTCTAACATTCTCATCCTGCTTTATTAATTTGTCACAGTTGCAGTCATTCAAATACGGTGATGAGTTTTCTCATTTATTTCTGTCTACTTTTCTTTAGGAGAAGCAGGATGTTGATGCTGGTTTGGCACTGCCTGCATGTTTTTGAGCTAACTTTAAGCTTTCTGCCTGACACATTTTGGCCCCGCCCTGCAGGCCCTGCAGGCCTTTGACACCTCGGAGGTCACAGACAGACTCTGTGACTGGCATCTGTAACCTTACACCCCTCTGACCTTGTTTGCAGTTTCATTAAATGGCACCTTACTTGGACGTTTTGATTAGTGCTAATCAGTAAAGCTCCCCCCACCAAACCCTCAGGGGATATTTGCTAGTGTGGCTGTGTCTAGCCGTCCTCCCTGTCCTCTCCCGTGTGACATTTCTCTCTTCCCTCTCTATCTCCGCCAAACTATGAAACCAGAATAGTTTTCTTTCCTTCTCTGTTCTTATTATTCAGGTTAGCTTAACCTTTTAATCTTACTGATGCTGTGAAAGTCGTTAAACACTAACAACTCAGTTACTGCTCTCAAGTGAATGTGCGCTCTACGGTTTTGCAAATGGCCAGCAGAGGGCGCACTAACACGGTATTTGAGACGCTCTCAGCTTCCCTCGCTGTTTGATGCGTCTGAGGTTAGAACCACATAGATGCAGTAACATGTATTAAATACAGAACATGCTGTATTCAAATCAAGTTTATTAAAGACTGCTTTTTCTCTTAAGATTAATGTTTCTTTTTACCAGTGAGTTTTATAGAGCAAACAAACCCTGTAGACGACACTGATAACCTGAACTAATGAGACTTATTGGATTATGCAGATGGTAAATGATCACCTAAATGTTACACATAGGAGTATATCAACATTTTAATAATTGCTGCTCTTTACTCCTGTGACAGTTTTTATGTAATCATGAACTGATGTTACAGATGTGCATGTTTTGCTGTCTTTACTAATTTAATATCCAGCATTAACGGTTACTCTTACAGGAAGCTGTGTTATGTGTGCTTCCTGGGTACAGTCTTGGTGAAGTCTGAAGCCTCATCTAAACGCCACAGCCTAAATACTGTTGATGACCGGCTCCATCCTCCAGACATTCAATCGTAATAGAGCAACTGAGAAACGTTGTCGTACCAAAGTGAAGTAAAATCTCAACTGTTTCTGACACAGTATCCATGTCATGGAGAGCCAGTAAGGTGCTGGCTTCAACAATTAATCAGATTAATCGTCACGAATCAATTATTGAAATAATCGACGATTCGTTTAGTAATAGGTTAATCGACAAGTGGAATGTATACAGACTCAAAAGATGCCTTTTCACTAAAAGAAAAAAAAAGATATAATTAAACTAAAAGTGTACAAAATTAACATACGTTTTGCATTTGAGATAAAAACAAACATGTTTCACCCAAATCTCCAAAAGTTTCATAGTTTTAGTGTCACCTCACTAAAGGAATGCTGTGCATTTTTGGCAATAAAACATTTATTTTCTTATGTAAAAAGATAATTTATTTGTTTGCATCTTTTGATGTATTTCTAATATTGTGTCAGGTGAACTGTCAGGTTTTTTTTTATGATTAATCAGTTAATCATAACAATAATCAATTACTAAGAAAATTGTTTCTTGCAGCCCTAGTTTCTAATAATGTGTGCGCAACATAAATCAACACTTTTTACACGATTTAAATATATTTCAGAGCTACACTTTAGTGTTGATTTTGGCTGTAATTTTTTTGTATGCAATCCTTTCGGTCAGTGTAGTAACTTTATGCTCTAATTATTGTAAGAGTGACTTTATAGTATGGATGCTGATCTGAAAGTATGAACTGCGAAAAAAAATATATGTATATATTTATATAACAAGAAACTTAACAAAAAGTGGGGAAAAGAGAAAATATTTTTCTGTTTGAAAAAAAACCTCGAGGTTAATCATATAAAACTGTTGACACAAACACCCAGAATCACAAGCCTTGACAAGTAAAGAGAGAGAGAGAGAGAGAGAGAGAGAAAAAAAAGAAACTATTTGGATGAAGGTAAATGTTTTGTTCCAGCCACCTACCATCGGCGGCGGGAATCGTGCGGCTCCTCTGTTGTCCGCCAGGACAGCGGAGGCTCAGGCTGCCTCAAGGATTTTCTGTGCACCTGTGCGCCGCTCTCTTTGCTTTCCTCTCAGGCACAAAGAGCACATTTGTGAGAGCTGATGGTGGCTGGCTGAAAGTTGAAACGTATTGATCGCTAAGTGTTACCAGTAAACATGAAAGGAATGCAGCCAGCGTGCAACTTTTCCCGGCCTCCTTTTCAAATCAACGTACTCACGACCAGAATGGATATCGGCACAAAAACCCAATTAAAAGATGAGCCAGTGTTCCTCCTCGCCTCCGTTTCTCATGAAAAACTCCATTCACTAACTTTGCTGCTCTCTGCCATCTACAGAGACAAACTTCTTTTTTTAAAATAAACAAAACATAAAGATGAAAGAAGAGTCATGGCAGGATTGTTCGCTAAAGTATCGACTTCGTTAAACTTTTTCATTTTTCTTCACGTTGATCTGCAAACATTGTGTTTCTACTGGATTTCTACATGCCAACAAAAACTTGTGCATAACTCGTATATTTGCTAAAGGACATTATTGAAGAGAATGTCACTGAAATCCCTATAATGCAGCATGGTGGTGGCAGTGTCATACTGTGGGGATGTATTTTTCGGGTAAACTAGTCAATGTTGATGGGTGGAACAAAATTCAGGACATTCCTGCGATAAAATCTCTTAATGCTGCAGTACGTGTTACAATATAAATATTGATTTTACACATTTATTAAAACTGTCACCATGTCTTGACAATCAAGTATGAAACATGTAAAAAAACAAAAAATCAAGCTCCTCCCAGTTCTACCTTTGCCCTCTGCAAAAATCCACCACTTCCAGTCAGAAACAACCAATTGGAGCCAGGAGGCGGGGCTTAGTGCTGTCAATCAATGCTGCTCAATGTGCTACAGGAAAGCCGTTTGTCCGTTGTGATCCGTGGCTTTGCTAACTAGCCTTAGCATTTATGGCAGGCTCTGTTGTGTGGGAACCAGCTGTAGCGTAGAAAGTGGCAGGCTGTGAGCAGCGCACACACGAAGGTGATTGACAGTGCAAAG